TGATCCGCCAGTCTCGGCCTCCCAAAGTGCTGGGATTACAGGCTTGAGCCACCGCGCCCGGCCTTGTTTGTTTTTTAAAGTAGTTCAGGGTGCCATGTCATGCAATATTTGGAACATACTTAAACTAAAAACTTGTTATTTACCTGAACTTCCAAATTATCTGTCATTGTATATTTTATTTGTTAGCCCTATCCTCAGAAAGCAGACTGAGATCTGCAGTGCACCTGGATTCACAGATGGAAATATAGGGGAAAAAACAAGTCCAGTAATATAATTGTGAAAATTCAGTAGGGCATACACAGATTTTCACCTCCTCTATAAGAAGACACAAGTTTGAAATATGGGTAATGAAATGTAGAACAATGTCCCTCTCGGTTGTGGTGTTGGCCTAGCTCAGAGAGTTTAGTTTCTGTTGTCATCACAGCTGGAAATGAGAAAGGGAGGGGGCTCTGGTTGGTCTCCCTCTGCCACTGGACCACACGTGCAGGACGTGAGGCTTCCATAGGAGCAGCTCTGAAAGCTGAGTTCTCAGGGTTCTTGTGAAGCCGGGGAGCTTGCCTGCCTTGGAGCATGAAAAAGTCTTGTTGGACAGAAGTCCCACGGTTTAAAAATGGGAAGGGAGAGAATTGAGATCACACTAGAATGCACAGAAAATTCTTAAAAGAAAAATATAATGAGAGAAACCTCATCAGAATGTGAAAAGAACTACAAAGCTACAGTGCTGAAGAGAGGACAATACTGGCACTAGAATGACAAGATTCATGGAACACAGTGGAAAATTCAGAAAGAGAACCACATGTATGTAATATTTTCTCATGTGATAAAGTTATATGTTAATATCCACAAGGAAATAGCCAATTATTTAATAAGTTCTCTTTTGGGTATTGAGCTACCATATGGAAACAAATATTGTTACATTTCTACCTTAGCAGTCACAAGTAGTAATTAAGTTATAATAAAAAAAATCATTAGATTTAAACGATGATGAATTGCATACAAATTCTAGGTGAGACTGGCCTCTCTAAGTCTGATGTCAAAATAGAGACCCTAGAAAAATTGATAGATTTTTTTTTTCAAAGTGCAATTCGCCAAAAGTTGTCAAATAAAATAATAACATAGGAGAAGATATATTTCAACACATTTGATAAAGGGTCAGTTTATCTAAAATGGTGTATATTAAGTCTTTCATACCAACGAGAAAAAATTAATCTTCCAAAAGGAAAATAGGTCAAGAGTGTGACAGGGCAATTCACAAAAGAAGAACTGTAAATGACCCATAATGTTGTAAAAAATGCAAGTACTCCTAAAGATGGGGGAATGCAAACTGAATTCACAAATCTCATTTTCAGAATCGCAGAGCTTGGATTCCAATCATTATCAAGTTAAAGTATACGACTTAGGAAATGTTAATTAACCCCCGAATTTCTAATGTTAAATTCAACAGTACTTTAAACCTTTAATGAAGTTTCTATATAGATTAAATAAAATAGAAAGTAATGTATTTAGTAAATTAACTACCAGAATGTCAGTACCCATATTTACCATCAATATTATTATTATTAACTTTTTTGAGACAGTGTCTCACTCTGTTGCCCAAACTTGATAGCAGTAGTGTGATCTTAGCTCACTGAAATCTTTACCTTCCAGGCTCAAGAGATTCTCCTGCCTCAGCATACAAAGTAGCTGGGGTCACATGTGTGCACCACTACAGCCGGTTAATTTTTTGTATTTTTAGTAGAGACAGGGTTTCACCATGTTGGCTAAGCTGGTCGCAATCTCCTGGCCTCAAGTGATCCTAACAACCGGACTACCCAAATGCTGGGATTACAGGATGAGCCACCAGGCCTGGCCAGTATTATTATTACTAATACAGTAATTATTGTATAAAAATTCCTGATAGACCAATGATGCCATCATTAAATAATCAATGCATCAAAACATTCAAATACATGATATGGATTTCCGTATGCATACTTATGAAGTATGTGCACCTTTAGAAGTCAGACACAAAATCCAGACATGGGAAAATAAGAGATTGATTAAAATGTATAAAAACCAAATATAGGAACAAAAAATATAAATATGTCATTTAAATAGAATTGATACATACTGTGCTATGACAAACAAAGTTAAAAAGTTCAAGAAAACTCATAAAAATATTTTTACCTATGGGGTGAGGGAGAAAAGAGGAACGAGAACTCTACAATGGATGCTAAAATCTTCAAACGCATCTTCTATAATTTTGACTTCAGTTCCATGTAAATGTTTTGTATATACAAAACAAATATGAAACAAAACAAAGTAACACAACAAATTTCCAAAATATAAAAATGAAGACTGAACATTTAAAGTACCTGTATCAATGTTGGCATGAACAAATAGAGGAAAATTATTTCAAATGGTTTTGTGGAAAAAGTATTCTGATTATGTACCCAAAAAGGAAAGAAAGAGAGAGAAAAGCAAGGGAGGAAGGAAGGAAAGAAACGGAGAATGGATGGAAGGAAGGAAGAGCGGGGGAGGGAGAGAAGATGGAAGGAAAGGAAGAAGGGAGGGAGGGAGAGAAAAATAATAAAAGTAAGCATGGAAGTAAGAAAGGAGGGCGAGGATAAAAGGGAGGGCAGAGGGCGAGAATGTTCAACTGCATATGTAGGCCTAGCGTTTTGGTGGTCATTATAGTATTGCATATATTGTTATGGACATAAGGAATAAGTGCCACTCTCAGCTGTGATCCCTGGACCATGATTGGATACATGATTCAGTATAAACACCCTTTCCATTTGCTGTCCAAAATATCTTGCTTCACAGTTGGACTCTAGGTGTACCTGTCTGTCCTAGGAAGCAGAGTGAGTGGGCCTCCCCCATGTCCTAGGAGACCTCAGCCAGGCTGCTGAGCTGAGGCCTGGAGATGGCAACTTGGTCTTCGGGAAAGTCCTGGGGGAGAGTGGGGAACAGGATGCAGCTGCTGCCCAGGGGAGTGTGATATTAGGGGGGAGAGCAGGAGTTAAGCTGTGTTTCTCTTTGTACAGAATACAGTAAATTCAGGGCAGGAAATAAGAGTTGGCTGGTCTATCTTGTGTACCAGAAGCAACCACAGGCAGATTTTTAGTGTGGTGTAGGGCAGGTCTGAATCATGGTGCCTGTCCCAGGTGGCACAGTAATAGATCCCAGAATCATTTTCAATTAGATTTTGCAGTCTCAAATTCCAGCTCTTCCTTGTGCTTGCAGTGTCATACTTTCCTGGACTGATTCCTGATTCCAACACAACCGTGAAGTAGTAGGGTTCATAGTATAGAAGACGCTGTGGGGCCTTCCCCTCCTGGTGTAGGTACCAGTGGATGTATAAGGTACTGACTCCAGGAAGATCACAGGTGATTTCAGCAGGTGACCCAGTAGGCCCGGTGATTGACTTCGTTTTCCCTTCCAAGTTGGAAGATTTCTGACTGGCTGCAATGGAACCAACACAAAATATAATGAGGCATTTCTTAGTATGGCACCCCTTGCAAAAGAAGAAAAGAACAAAACAAAACCCATGAGCCTCTCTGTAGGCAGCACACTCACCAGGAGACAGGAGAGCTAGAACCAGGGCTAGGGCCCACCGCATGCCTTCCTCTGCGGGGCCTTGGAAGGAAAGGGATCAGATGAAGAGGAGCAGAGGAACCTCTCAAAATTCAGGTGCCACTCAACAAGGAAGTGATCCCTAGCACAGAAGACAGCAGGAGGAGCTGGTCTTTCTAAGACACAGGCAGAGAGAAGTGACTGAGGATCTGTCTCAGGGGACTCCCAAGCCTTCCTTCCAGAAGAGGTGTTGCCTGAGAGGACCCCGCAGAGGAGCTCCTGCCTCTCTGCTCAGGTCCGTTCTCCAGCGCCCTCCTTTGGCCACTGAGGGCAGGCCCTCTGCAGGAAAGAGCCAGGGGCATGGAGAGCTCAGGCCTGCAGCAGGGGGAGTGCAGATGTGGGGAAAGCCGACCCTGGTGCCAGCTGGCCATGGCCCTTGGGAGAGGGCAGTTCCATAGCAGGCTCACAACCTGCTCTTCAGAGTTGCAGCAGCCCACGCTGCTTCCAGGACCTGGTCCTGCCAGGAAGCTTCTGATTAGGGCCCTGAATCACCTTCCTTTTCACATTTGCAAGTCCACTTGGAGGCAACCACCCAGGGCCACTCTGAGAAGATTTGAACCTGCTTTATTAACAGGACTGAGGGTGAGGCATGTTGGTTTGCCTTGGACTCTACTCAAAGAAAAACAATGGCCGTGGCTCTCACTAACCATCGGTAGGACATTATAAGCACCAAAAGAATAACACCTACACAAAATCTTGAAAACCATAGCATAGTGATTCCTCAAGAATCTAGAACTAGAAATACCATTTGTCCCGGCCATCTCATTACTGGGTATATACTCAAAGGATTATAAATCATGCTGCTATAAAGACACATGCACATG